AATGCTCCAGGAGCCAGTGCATAAAGAAGGCAAGGAAGAACACGTAAAGGAAGAAAAGGAGAGTGTGGCAGAGAGTGTTCACGGACCGGATCAGGATCGAATCGGTGCGGTTGGAGTCCTTGCTGTTACCGTTGATGGTCTTTATGTTGGTGATTATGTTGTGTTGGTGTCAGTGTTGGTGGACGGTGGTGCTGGCTATGGATGGTACGAATGGTTATTGGCGCAGTTGATGTTGAAACGTTTGCGCAATCAGCAGTTGTGTGCAACCAGCATGTTCTCAATCGAGTCCCACCACGTCGTGTCCGTCGCGGCCTACAACCATATCGGTACTGTCGCAATGAAGGTATCGTCGTGGATGGACAGCGTCGTTGGTATCGCTGCCCATGGCCTCGTCTCTGGGGCTCGTGTGTAAGCCTTGCAAGAATTGTCTTCTGTTTCGGGAGCGGCCAAGAGGGGGGGGGTGTCCAAGAGGGGGGGGTGCAAATCATGACCGGCGGCATGTGCGCGGCCCAGCGGGGTGGCCTGGGACGTAATAAAATAAGAAGAGGCGCCATGAAATCTGAGGGAAAATCATGGCCCGCGCCATGAAATCCACCCCCCCCCTAGTCATCACCCCCCTCTTTTCCGCTCCCGACTGTTGTCGTCCCCCTACTTTTGGCCTCCATGCTGCCGGTGACCCTGCTGCTTCGAGTCGAGCCCGGGGTTCCAGGTCCACGCTCGGTGTGTCCACCGTTCTGTGGATGGCCTGCCACGGGCGCGGCCCAGCCCCGGGGATCCAGAGGAGGAGGAGGAGGAGGAGGAGGAGGAGGAGGAGGAGGAGGAGGGAGGAGGAGGAGGAGGAGGAGGAGGAGGAGGAGGAGGAAAAGGACGAGGAGGAGGAGGAGAAGGAGGAGATGTTCTGCGCCAGGGATGTCGTGCCTGCTCGTGAGCTCCTCGGCTCTGCGCGTGCTCCGGCGGAGGAGGTCGGACCGGAGTTCGTGGTCGCACGTCGTCGGCTCGTGGGTCCGGTGTGCGTCACCGTGTCTTCTCGTGTGCTGGTCTTGCTGGGCCTGTTTTCCACCACCACCACCATAAGTTGGAGGGGGAGGGGACCCTCCTCCTCCTCCTCCTCCTCCTCCTCCTCCTCCTCCTCCTCCTCCTCCTCCTCCTCCTTACCCCCTCCAACTTATGGTGGTGGTGGTGGAAAACAGGCCCATCAGGTCTGCTCTGATGGGGAAGGGGGGTCGCTGGATGCGTCGTGGTCGCTGGAGTCGTCGGGGTGGTGGCTGTCCGAGTCGCGGTTGCTGCGGTTGTCCGCCGTCGGGGTGGTGCGCGCTCGCAGGGTGGCGTTCGTGCGCCTTCTCGGAGCTCCGATGATCGCCATGTCTATCCGTCGCTCAGTGCGGCGATTCTTTTGTCTGAGTGGCTCTGTCAGGGTACACGCTTCCGCGCCGTACGCCATCTTTGGCACGAGGGGGGAGGCAAGGAGGGAAGGCAGGGAGAGGAGGGGATGCGGAATGAAGAGGGAGCATGGAGTGAGGGGGAGAAGGAAGAACAACAAAAGGCACGGGGCAGAGAAAGGGATGGGGGGACGGTGGAGGGGAGGCCGTCGTCCTCCTCCTCCTCCTCCTCCTGCTCCTCCTTCTCCTCCTCCTCGTCCTCTTCCTCGTCGTCCCCCTCCTCCAGCTCCCGCTCCTCCTCTGCCTCCTCCTCCCGCCCGTCGTCTTCCTGGCCGTCGTCCTCCTCCTCCTCCTCCTCCTCCTCCTGCTCCTCCTTCTCCTCCTCCTCGTCCTCTTCCTCGTCGTCCCCCCTCCTCCAGCTCCCGCTCCTCCTCTGCCTCCTCCTCCCGCCCGACGTCTTCCTCCCAGGGTGGGCTCTTGCCGTCGCTCGGGCGCCCACCTCCCGTGCATGTTTCGGTTTCGTGCGTTTTTTTTTTGGTTTGCTGCTCGATGGTCCAGGATGGTCCTCGATGGTGCTCGCCTGCCTTAAGTCGGGCCTGTCCCCCTACATGGGGATCTTCGACGAAAGATAGAACTACCCCCAGAATACCCCCAACAAGGTAAAACATATTCAAGCCATAATTAGCCCCCAGACCAGTGTTGGACTATTCTCTGATTATGTTTGGGGTATTTTTTATTCCTCGCCGAGAAAAAAGCGCACACGTCCGAGCGATGCCAGGGACTGCGCACCGTCGCCCCCGAGGGTGGGGCGCGGGGGTCCATCTCCCGTGCATTTGTCGGTTTCGTGCGTGTTGTTTTTTTGTTGCTCGATGGTCCAGGAGGGTCCTCGATGGTCCTCGCCGAGAAGAAATGCACACGTCCTCCTCCTCTTTTTCCTCCTCCTCCTCCTCCTCCTCCTCCTCCTCCTCCTCCTCCTCTTTTTCCTCCTCCTCCTCCTCCTCCTCCTCCTCCTCCTCCTCCTCCTCCTCCTCCTCCCTCCTCCTCCTCCCTCCTCCTTTTTTTCCTCCTCCTCCCTCCTCCTCCTCCTCCTCCTCCTCCTCCTCCTCCTCCTCCTCCTCCTCTCCTCCTCCTCCCTCCTCCTCTTTTTCCTCCTCCTCTTTTTCCTCCTCCTCCTCCTCCGAGCCCCCCACCGTCGCCCCCGAGGGCGGGGCACCCCCGGGGTCCTGGGGCGCCTGCCCGCCATGGCTGCAGGGAGGCAGGCCCGCGCGCCGCGGCTCCAGGGGGGGAGGAGGCCGCAGCCCGAGGCCGCGCACGCCGGCCTCGAGCCGAGATGGCTCGGGAGGAGGGGGAGGAGGAGGCGGAGGAGGGCGGAGGCGGAGGAGGGAGGAGGAGGAGGAGGAGGAGGAAAGGTAGGAGGAGGAGGAGGAGGGAGGAGGAGGAGGAGAGAGGAGGAGGAGGAGGAGGAGGAGGGGAGGAGGAGGAGGAGAGGAGAGGGAGGAGGAGGAGTGAGAGGAGGGAGGGGAGTCCCAAAGATGCTCGTGTCGCAGTGAAGGTCAAGACTGGCCATGATCGGCCCTGGGGGCCCCCCTCGCGGGGCCCCGGAGACCGCCAAAGAGCGACCCGGGAGGAGAAGCCGCGGCCCAGGGAAAGGGTCGGGGCCTCCTCCTCCTCCTCTCTCCTCCTCCTCCTCCTCCTCCTCCTCCTCCCTCCTCCTCCTCCTCCTCACCTCCTCCTCCTCCACCTCCTCCTCCCCTCCTCCCTCCTCCTCCTCCTCCTCCTCCTCCCCTCCTCCTCCTCCTCTCCTCCTCCTCCTCCTCCTCCTCCTCCTCCCTCCTCCTCCACCTCCTCCTCCTCCTCTTTTTTACCTCCTCCTCCTCCTCCTCCTCCTCCTCCTCCTCCTCCTCCTCCTCCTCCTCCTCCTCCCCCACCCCCCACTGTCGTGCTCTCTGTCTCTCTCGTCCTCGCGGGGTCTCGGTTGCCGGGAGGCTGCCCAGGGAGGAACTTGCACAAATCAAAACTTGCATGTCTGGGGCTCCTGCAAGAAGAGGACGGCGACGCCGGCAGCAGCGGCGGCGGGAAAGCTCGCATCATCGGCCAGGCCCAACCAAACCAGCGCGAAAGCAGTGCGGCCTCAATCTGCCGCACGGGTGTTGGCCCAGCCGAGGTCCCGACCCTTGCAGTTGTTCAGAGCGGGGCGCACGCGATCGTGCCCACTTGCGCCGCCGGTGACAGTCGGTGTGTGTGTGTGTGTGTTTCTGGCCACTGGCCCGTGAGGAGCTGGCCGCCTCGCCTCTCCTTGCTTCCATGTCTCCTCTTTTCTTTCGACTGCTGCGCGCTCGGCAACACGGCCACGCGCCCAACGGTGTAGCGAGTCGCCCACCCGCAACGCACGCCCGGAACGTGTGTATGTGTGTGGTGTGTGCGCGTGTGTGTGTGTGTGTGTGTGTGTGTGTGTGTGTGAGTGTGTGTGTGTGTGCGAGTGTGCGTCTGTGCGTGCGTGCGTGCGTGCGTGCGTGCGTGCGTGCGTGTGTGTGTGTGTGTGTGTGCCTGTGCCTGTGCGTGCGTGCGAGTGTGTGTCTGTGTGTGTGTGTGTCTGTGTGTGACGGCGCCTGTCTTTGTGTGAGGGATGTGTCACATATGAGGCGCCAAGGGGTGTGCCAAAATATGTAGTGGCATGCTCTCCCCTGCCCATCCCAACCCGTGTCTGCCTATCCCTGTGGAGATTCACTCAGCCTTGCTCCTTGCTTTTGCTCCCGCTGCTGCTCCAACTCATCCTCTTCCTCCCGCTCCTGCTCCTGCTCCATCTCCGCATCTGCCTCCTCCTGCTCCTGCGCTTGCTCCTTCTACCGCTCATCGTCCGCTTACTCCTGCTCCTGCTTCTACTCTTCCTTCTGCTCTTCCGCCTGCTGGCCCCTCCACATCCTCCTCCTCACTCTCCGCACTCCTGCAATTGCCCACCGTCCGTTCGCCGCTGATCCTCCTCATCATTCCCATCCTGCTCGCTCCTCTTGCTGCGCTTCCTCATCCGCATCATTGTCATCATCCGTCCCCCTTCACCCTGCTCTCTCCTCTCTCCCTCCCTTCCCCCTCCTCTGACTCGAATCGATGTTCCTTTCTCCCTCGTTCTCCTCCTCCTTCATCCTTCCCTCGCTCCTCCTCCTCCTCCTCAACATCCTCCTCCTTAGCCCTCATCCGTCCTCCCTCCTTCTCACCTCCCTCCCTCCTCGCTCCTCCCTCCACCACTTCGTCCTTCCATCGTCCTTCTCCAGCCCGCGCCCCTCCCCACCCTCCCAACCCCCACCACCCTGCTCCTCGCGCCTGCGAGCTTCCTCCCCCCCACCCTCCCAACCCCCACCATCCTGCTCCTCGCGCCTGCGAGCTTCCTCCCCCCCACCCTCCCAACCCCACCACCCTGCTCCTCGCGCCTGCGAGCTCCCTCCTCCTCCTCGGGAGCCTGCTTTTCAAGCGGCCGTGGCCTGACAGCGAGCACTGCCTGGCTGCACGCGCCAAGTGCGACAGTGCAGTCACTGAGGGGCGGGGCCTGCCGACTGCCACGCGCAACGCGTTACGCGTTGAGGAGGAGGAGGAGGAGGAGGAGGAGGCGGAGGAGGAGGAGGATGAGGAGGAGGAGGAGGAGGAGGAGGGAGGAGGAGGAGGGAGGAGGAGGGAGGGAGGAGGAGGAGGAGGCCCCCCGCACCGCCAGGCCGCTAGCCCCGGTGGCACGCCAGCACGGTGGCGTGGCGCTCGTCCATCACGGCGGTGTCGGCCGAGCTGCCGAAGGAGAGCCGCGCGGCGGGCCGCGCGCGGGCCGCCAGCGCCGCGCGGGGGGCCGCGGGGGGCGGCGGCTGCCAGAGCCCCGCGGCCTGGAGGCACGGCCTGCGCAGAGGAGAGGGCAGCTCTCCTCCTCCTCCTCCTCCTCCTCCTCCTCCTCCTCCTCCTCCTCCTCCTCCCCTCCTCCTCCTCCTCCTCCCCCTCCTCCCCTCCCTCCTCCTCCTCCTCCTCCTCCTCCTCCTCCTCCTCCTCCTCCTCCTCTTCCTCCTCCTCGTCCTCTCCTCCTCCTCCTCCTTCTCTCCTCATCCTCCTCCTCCTCCTCCTCCTCCTCCTCCTCCCCGTCCTCCTCCTTCCTCCTCCTCCTCCTCCTCCTCCGCCTCCTCCTCCTCCTCCTCCTCCTCCTCCTCCTCCCCCTCCTCCCCCTCCTCCCTCCTCCGCCTCCTCCTCCCTCCTCCTCCCCCCTCCTCCTCCTCTCCTTCATCCTCCTCCTCCTCCTCCTCCTCCTCCTCCTCCCTCCTCCTCCTCCTTCCTCCTCGTCCTCCTCCTCCTCCTCCTCCTCCTCCTCCTCCTCCTCCTCCTCCTCCTCTC